CTCTGTAAACTGCTTAGAGAGGGCTGAAAGCCCTATGAAGCGGTATATAAGTCTAACTGCTATTGCTATTGCTATAGTTTAGAAACATTATTTTTATGTTACACAAACCTCGTGATTTTTCTCAGTGCACTGAAAACAATAGACTTTAGAAGAGAAAAGAAATATATTTTCTGGCATATAAAACAGAACTTTGTTAGGGAATGCAGAACAAACATTTCAAGTTACAAACAAGGTTATTTCATTTTTTTTCCCACTTTTCACAAGTAGTTTACTTATTAGGCTAAGTTTGGCAATCCGCCTACAAGTTTTATCTACGAAGTTGGCACATTAAGTTACAAATGGAGCTTCTCTCAACAGCAATTTAACAAAAGCTGAATTAGGTTACACTCTGTGTATGCTCTAATCCTTCAGGGGTCCTTTCACTACCAAGGAGAAAACTATCCCCCCACCCTGGCAAGACAAGCTACTGTATATAATAAACGGGGGGGGGGGGGAAACCCCACACTCTCTAGCACTGATGATGTTGCTTAGTCAGGTAATGAAGTGTCTGTAAAGAAAAAAAGAACCAAGCACAGAGACAACTAAGAGCTCCATGATGAAAATGTAACTTAGAGACCAATTATTGCTTTTATGACCTTTGCAGATGTTGTAAAGCAAAGGAAAACTGAAGCATACATACTTGTGGTTTCAGTTAGCAGTCACTTCACTTAACATATGGACCACCTTGTCCGTTCAACAAAATGCAAAAAAATTCTGGGGGAGGTTGACATTTATTTAACTATAATTCTTGGAAGATGTATGACTGAATAAGCCTAAATTTACTTATTCTAATATTTAATTTAGGTTTTTATTTTGATGTGAGGGAAATTACACCAGGAGCTGTGGGAATTCACAGGTTCGATGCCCACAATGTCGAGGTAAGAGCCCTTATGTCTCCATTTGTGGGTTACTCCAGATTTCCTATGGTACCATGAAGTTTGAATTGCCTTCTAAAGTTGGCAGGTGCTAATTTTGCCTTTCCTGAAGACGGTTCTTTTATTTTTCGAGGCGTCCAAAATGAATGGCTTGTCTTTCCATCAGGAGATGCCCTTAAGATATTTTAGATTTCAACTCCCAGAATACACCAATTAGTTCACAAATTAGCAGATGATTTACAAGCAGTCTTTGGGGCTGTTGTAATCCTCTGGGAGGCTTGCATGTGTGTGAATGAACAACTGTTGCAAATAGTAATTATCCAGTTGTTGAGAAATCCACAGAGGCCCCATAAAGATAGTCCTCGACTTAAAACCACAATTCAGGCCAGAATTTCTGTTGCTAAACAATGTGGCTGTTAAGTGAGTCACACCCGATTTTAGAAACTTTTGTTGCCTTGGTTGTTAAGTGAATCATGCGGTCATTAAGCAAATCCAGTGTTCCCCACTGACTTTGCTCATGGGGGGAGCCAGCTGGGAAGGTTGCATGGCTATCGCATGATCCTAAGATGCTAAAACTGTTCTAAATATATGCCTTTTACCAAACACTCAAATTTTGATCATGTAACCGTGGGGATTTTACAGCGATTGTATGTATGGGGATCGATTGTAAGTCACATTTATAACTTCAACGGGTCATTAAACGAATGGTTGTAAGTCGAGGATTCCAAAACGGGTTGCATTGGAGGCTTATATGTTTCGTTTCTTTTCAGACACCAGCCTTCCCAAAGGAAGTGGAAATACGGGCCTTGATAGAAGGACAGTTCATGGCCAAAAGGATCCATGCAGAAAAACTGGGCTATAAAATACGTGAGTTTCTTTTCACCAAGATAATGGGAAATTTGATTAAAGTTGCCTACTCATCTCTGAGAAGTGGGTCATTCTGTTTTCTCCAGTTTTTTTAAAGTATTGTTTTACTTTAAGTGCTCACCATAAGTGACGACTAGCACCTTGAAGCGTATCCGAAGACCAATAGGCAGCCAGTGCAGCTCGCGGAGGATAAGTGTAACGTGGG